AAATGCCAAAGAGATTATATGGAAAAGAGGGGGAAAAAAAAAGATGACTGTGCTCCATGTAGTCTCAAACATTTAAAAGAAACCCATCCTCACAACTGTTTTTGTTACCACAGCAGTTAGGAATGCAAAGTCTATATTTAGTCACAAACATTTCTTAAAGAAAAGGAGAATTCAGGACTCCTGATTGTTATTTTGTAAGATTTAGGTCTAGTAGAATTACAGTGGAAACATACCTGCTGCTATGGGCTATCATCCATCTCCCCACCCCAAGGTAGCTTCTTGAGTGGCATCATGGAATTCAGTAGGGTTAAATGAATACAACCCTACTTGAGATGAGCATGTTGGATGCTATTTAACCTTTAGCCTGTGAGCGCCACTTTCACATTGTTGATCTTTAAGTTTGGCTCCTTTATTATCATTTCCAAGTGTCTGAAATATATGCATGTATGTCCTTGATACCACGCCAGGCAAGCAATCCTGTGCCATCATTCAAGCAGGAGATGGGGTGCAAGAAGCCGTGACTTCTCTGAAGTCAGTGTCCAACCAGGTGTAGTGCATAGCAGGGACCTCAGCCTCTGCTTCCCCTGTTGCTTCTGGGGGATGGAACCTTCCTGCTGGCTCATGTCAGCATCTTGGGCCGTGATAAGGGGCTGGTAGGTGCTAGGGTGGTGGTCCGAGTCCACAAAACCTGTGCAAGAGCAGGAGGGCAGCTAGCTGGAGGTGAGCAGGACCCACTTTCCCTGTATTGACACCTCCCCAGGCAACCTATTGCCCACAGTGGCCTTTTGGGTGATGGTCACCCATCCACAGGGTGTCAGGGAAAGGCTTGTCGGGCATGCAGGTCATGTTCTGAGAACGTGAAAGGTCTTTTGAGCTGGCATGACTGAAACCTATGAAAGTAAGGCTAAATCTGTAGTGGAAAATGGCATTTCTCTTTCTGAATACATACAGGCACTAGCAATATCTTATCTGTTTGTACTGTTCTCACTTCTTGTCATGCCATAGAAAATATGCATCTTGGGGCTTTATTTTCATATGCGCATTTTGTTTACATAACTAGTACATTTTTATCAGCAAGAACCGATGTTAACTGAATTTAACAAAGACAAAGCAAGAGGAAAACGTTCATTCTGTCCATGGTGATATCACAGAAACAATGTGTTTGAAGCCTTATACTTCAAAAATATGGCTGAGAGGAATGGAAAAATCCAGGCTCATATTGTAAAAACGTGAGTCACAACAGCTATTATCTCTTAAGAAATGGCATTCCAGCTCTTTGATTCAGTCATTGATGATTTCCCTTTTTAAGTTGTGGTGCTTTCTTACCCTTTTAAGAAACAGCTGGGCTAACCTTGGCTATTTGTAGAAATGTTTGCAATTCATAGATTAAAAGAAATTAGACATAGAAAGGACCCGTGAAATTATCTTGTCCATTTCCTGAAAGCATATGAAATTGAAAAAGAATTAGGCTAAATATATATATTAAAATTTGGAACTTTAACTTACATACAATATGAAGACAAAACTTGTCAAGTTTTTTTCAATTGTAAGGATGCTGGAAATTGTAATTTTTTTAAGGAAAAGTAAATAGAAGAGTAGCAAAAGCTCTAACGAAGTTTGTGTAGGATTTTCCAGTTGTTCCTAGGCAGCTATCTTTCTGGAATTTGCAGATAAAATTGAAAAGATCAGGTTTTGACCAGTTTGAAGTTGATTCAATTTTCTAATAAGAGAGAGCTTTAAGCAAAAATAATTCACTCAAAAAAAAAATTAAAACTTCTCATTTTGATTAGGCTTTTCTGGCTATTTTATCTCCCTCATCACCCCCTATCCTTTTTTTTTTTTCTTTTCTAAAAAATTTTCATAAGTTCTGTTCTAGAATGGCACCTTTCAGAAGACTTTAAGGAAGTCTGAGAAGGATGCTGAATATTCTAGTGAAGATTCTGGTTTTGTGATCAAGCAACACCCATGAAAACTGCAGCACTTAGTAGAGACATTCCACACATTCTCTTATCATCTCAGTAGTGCTTGGTGTCCCTCGTGCTATATGGCCATGCCTCCAGTTTGGCTATATGGAGAAGGTGGTGCAGAGGTGGCTACCACCAGTTTTCCAGCAAAGGGAATGTCTGCGTAGGTTGGAGGCCGTCACCCAGCCCATGCTCCGAAGCACTGGAAGCAGGTAGTTGGTGCAATGTGGATCTCGAGCACCTGCAGATGTGCGATGGTATTAACTCTGGTTCTCTGTGTGCTTCCACGTCTGCACAAACTCAGGCCAGCCACAGAGTTGGCAGGCAGATTGAGCCCTTGCCCAAGGCAGTGTAGGCTGTCTTGTCTTGGCATTAGTGCTATGTAAGGACAAAAGCACATAGGATCAGATGATGGGTTTCTCCAGACTGGTAGCCTAGAAAG